ACAGCGCATCGAGCCACTCCTTGAATTTGAGCTCATTGTACCTTCTTCGCACCGTTCCCTTGTGCGTCAGACCCAAACCTTCTCGTATCACGTTGACTCTTTCCATCTCTATTTTTGCCATTGGCGTAATCAACTCCGCATTGTACTCTTGCAACGCATCTCTGAGCACGCCTTGACCGAGGAGTTCTGGCCGCGGGCTCTGGATCAGACAAGCGCTCCACGGCTTGCCGTGCCCCAGCACTTGAACAGCCGTGACGGTGTCGCGAGGCGACCTGTCTCGCAGACACTTGGCCAACTTGGCTTCCAAGGCGCTGGCATTGGCGCTGAGAGTATTGGCGTAGACGATGACGTCGCTCGACCTGCCCACCAGCTTCCAAAAGGGTTCCGTCTGACCGGGAGCGTCGGGCAGGCGCACGAACAGGTCGGCCAGGTTGATGCATGGTTTCCCGTGGTCTGCACCTGGACCGGCAAAAGGTTCCACCTTGACGTGGATGCCGCCTTGTTGAATGTTGGCCTGCAGCTTGGGATTGCGCTCAATGATGCTCCAAGCTTGATATTCCGTCTCTGTTGTCTGTTTGTCGTTATCAGAAGAAGGAGGGAGCGGCGTAAAGACGAGGTGATTGGAGCCTGGCCCCGCAGCCAGGGCATCCAGCCTCATGGGAGGCGATTTGGAGGACATGACGCGTCCAAATTCCGAAACGCCGTAGATGTTGTGCACCTGCTTGATGCCAAAGTCGCGAAAGAGGGCGTCCAAGTGAGGCTCTACGGGTGCGCCCATGACTGCCAAGCTGTCCAACTTTCGCAGTGCAGCCTGGTAGCGCGCATTGCCGCGTGCGATGCGAACCATCTCCTCTGCGACGGTGGGGTAGGTGCCAAAGTGAGCCGCATCCGACAGGGCGATGGTTTCCAGCCACTCTGTGGGCGTGCATGTCTTGCCGTCTGCGGGGTGCGGCACGATGACCGGCTGACCAACGATCCACTGCAATGTAATGTAGGCCGTGTAGCTGGGTTTTGGCGGGCGGTGTGCGGCGGTGTGCGGTGCGGTGCGGAGATCAGTCGACGTAGGTGCACCTCTGCCCGGCACTCGGACACTCACGTGAAAAAGAAGCAGTTGGTGGTGAGGAGCCTGCCGCGCTGATGGAGCTGTGTTGGCAGCGTATCGGCTTGAGCACCCAGAAAGGCCATGGCCGTGCGCTTCAAGCCGCGAGACCAAAAGTGGATGGCGGTGAAGCAGTGCTTGGGCACACCTGTGGAAGCGGAAGTGTGATTGACCAGAGCAGGGTGAGGCATCTTGATGGTGCGCGGCCATTCGGGCACTATGCCACCCGCGTGCGTTGGGCAGGAGGTTGTGTTGTGATACGGACGGGCACGACGAGGCGAGGCGGGCGATCAGCCAGGCAGGCAGGCAGGCAGGCAGGCAGGCAAGCCTCTCTCTCGCGCGCGCGCACGCTCACCGTCGATGCTCTCTTGTTGCTGCTGCTGCTGCGCCCATTGTGCCATGGCCAGTGCGCCGTGCTGTTGAGGATGCAGCTGCCACTTGTGCTTCACCTGCAGCGCCTCTACCCACTGCGCATCTTTTGGCGACTGGACATGCGTGCAGTACAAGATGGCCTGTGCAGGTGCGATGAGGTCATGTCGAAGGCATGCGTCGAGGTTTTGATCGAGAAAGAGGACGCCGACGCCGAGAGCCCAAAGGGCAAAGTGATGGAAAAAGGCGTGGATGGGCGGTTGGCAGTAGATGGCCACCAAGCGATTCGACTCCTCCAACTGCTCCACCAGCGGCGCGTAGTGTTGAGCCAGATGAGCGACGATGCGCGATCCCTGAGACCACGTGACCTCGATGGGGGTGTGGGGGGTGTGGGTGTGGAGTGAGTGGGCGTGGGTGTGGAGTGAGTGGGCGTGGGTGTGGAGTGAGTGGGGGTGGGTGTGGCCATCAGAGGAGGAGGATATGGGCGGCGGGCAGAGATAAGCCATGGCGCAGTGTGGGCGGGTGAGAGCTCGCTGTTGAATGAGGCGCACCAGCTGCACATCCTCTGCCTCGACCTTTGGAGCAGCAGCGAAATGAGGCAGTCTGGCGCCAGGCGAGCGAATGGCCAGCGGGTCGTACATTGTGTTGTGATTGCTGAGCGGCGGCCGCGGTGAGTGGTGAGTGGGAGATGTTGGAGGTGGTGGAGTTGGGGCGAGGTGTTGGAATGCGCACTTGTGACTCGCTGCGTGGGTGGGTGGCATGGAAGTGACGAGTGGAGAGGCAGGGCAGGGTGACATGGAGCGAAAGGCGTGAGTGAGGGAGGGGCGGGGGCGCATTCTTGATTCAAGATTGAGCTGAAGCGTGCCACGTGGCTTGCATGTGGATGCACCCAGGCCATCTTGCAGCAGCATAGTCTTGCGTCTTGAGTGCGCGCTTGCGCTGCACCCGCACTCGTGACTCATGCTCCGCCGCGCCGCGCTCAATCAACACTCAACACTCTGCGACTCCAACTAACACGCGCGCGCACGCGCACGCGGCCACACACGCGTCGACGCGTAAATTGGTCGAGTGTGTGCTGTAGTGCAGAAGAGCATTCGAAGCTCGTGACTGCGCGCGCGCGTGGCGTTGCAGTGGCGATTGAGATGGTGGATGGTGGTTGTTATGTATTGTGATTGTGATTGTGATTGTCTGCTGCGTTTGCATTGGTGTGTTGTGATGTCTGACTGACTTGGTCGCTGCATGGGGAGTGGGAGTGGGAGTGGGTGTGGGAGTGGGTGGTGATCGAGTCGCGGCAGTCACAGCAGTCACACTCACACTCATCATCTCACGCAACACCGTCATCCCCGTCGCCATCCCCATGTCCATCCACCAGCATTCACATTCACCTCCTCCATGACACAACATCCATTCACACCACCCCCACTGCCTGCAGCAGAGATGCGTCTAGAGGCAACGCCTGCCCTGCTGACCACACTGTGCGAAGAGAGGCAGATGCGCCAAAGAGAGATCAGACAAGCATGCGCATGCGCAGGTCGCAAGAGCCACATTATCACTTTTCCAATGGCTGCGGCAGCGACTGCGAGTGCGAGTGCGAGCGCGAGCGCGGGAGTGGGAGCTGAGGAGAGGGCAGCTCATACGCTTTGCAGGCTCTTGGCCAGCGTGTTTGTGGTGCCGCTGTGCGATTGGAAGAGCGAGTCGCCTGGTGAGTTGGTCGACTGTGGCGCGGGGCGGGGCGAAGGATGGCAATGACATGATGGCTGATGCAGTGCACGCACGCACACACACACGCACCCACCCACACTTCCTCGCTCCCTCAGCCAGCATCGTGCGTGCCATTAAGGAGCACAATGCGCATGCTGGGCAGCAATCGCCCAATGCTGCTGCCGCTGCCGCTACTGCCGCTACTACCGCTCCTGCAGTGATGGATGTGCTGGGAGCGCTGCGACTAATCGATCATCAGCTGCATCAGCATCCTCTGCTGCTCAGACACCGCTTCAACTCCAAGCGCATACAGTCAGCAGCATCAGCATCTGATGCTCATGCTGCCGCTGTCGATGATCGAGCAGCGCCACAACAGGCATCGTCATCGCCATCGACATCGTCATCGGATGCGTCCATGGACAGCACATCCTTCGCAACTTGGCTCTCACCTCGACTCGTGTGCGCAGCTGCCTTGCTCTCTGTCCGCTTCCCCGAGCATGCCGCGGCGGTCAAGGTGCGCCACGCCATGCTCGATCTGCTCCTTCGCATGGCCCGCTTGCAGTGCCACAACTCGCCTGCCAGTCACCACGCCAGGTTCTGCTTGCTCGACTGTCTCAAGGCGGCCATCGATGGTGAGTCGAGTCGAGTCGAGTCGAGTCGATGCGATGCGATGCGATGCGATGCGATGCGAGTCGCTGCGCCGGCGGGATCATCGAAGCGAGCGCCGTTGACCCCTGTCGACTGACCAGCATCGCTTTCCGCGCACCGCGCACCACGCAGTCTTTGCGACGGCCAAGTGCGCTCCCTTTGATGCGCGCGAACCGCCAGATGCCAGCCTGTTGCTGCCTCCTCAGGAGCAAGCAGCAGGCGCGTTGCAAGGCGCGGCACAACCGGCAGCTGCTGCTGAGAATGGCGACGAGGTCGAGGTGCTGCTTCGCTTCTTTGTGCAACCCATGACGGATCAGTCACAGTGTCGACATGCGAATGCTTTGTTGGCAACCTTGGGCGATGGCATTGTGCGGACAGTGAGTGCGGTCGTGCGGTCGTGCGGTCGTTTGGTAGCGGCAATCTGCCCACCCTCTTTGCTCACACCTCGCCCTCTCCCTCTCCCGCGCTCTCAGTGGGGACCAGACGATCGCTCTCCCTTTTCGCGGGCCATTCCCCGCTCTGCCGCAAGCGATGTGGGTCACGCCCTCTTGTCGGTCACCACGCAGACCATCACACGGCTTGCACGAGAGTTTCCAGATCTCATGACCGACTTGAGCTTCACTGCCACATCGCTCCTCCTCAGCGCCAGCACTTCACATCAGCGCGACGCCAAAGTCTTCTGCACAGCGGTTGAGCCTACACGTGCCGTAGGCGTGCTGGTTGCCAGGCTGCAGGCCATTCAGCATGCCCTGGCATTGCGCGCCGTGCTTCCCCCAACGCACACAGCTCGGCTCGTAGCTTTGCTATCGCCGCACGTCGTTCGTCTCCTCCTCTCTCCCGCAACTTTGTCCACCGAAGAGAAAGCGCGGGAAGCAGCCTTCTATGCTCCTCTCTACGCCTTGCGAGAGTGCCTGCGCGTCTTGCGCCGGGAGACGATGCGAGAGGATGCCAGCGTCGAGATGCAGCAAGCCGTGCGACAGTCGCTGAGCGGCCTCACAAGTCGCGTCGCATCCACTCTGCTATCCAGCGATGACGAGGAGGAGGAGGTGGTGGACGTTGGGGCGTCAAGTCTCAACCCGCAAGACAAGCAGGTGCTGGATGCGCGCGCCGTTCGAAAGGTCAGTCGAGCCAATCGTATTGAAGTTGGCCGCGTCTCTCTGACATCAAGCAATTCCACCTAACCCACAGCTGTGCCTGTTCGACGCGCTTGTAGCCTTGCTCGCCACCACCACCCAGAGCTCTCCACTTTCGGCAACGGAAAGAAGGCGGCTGCGAGAGCAAGCATGCGCTAAACCGCACTTTGCCGAGTCGAACGAGGATCGCCCAGCGACGCTCTCCTTCGCTAATCTGATCACCGACTCGGATCGTCGCGCGTTGGACAGCCTCTTGACGGAGCACGCGCGAGCTGCGCAAGGCAAGCGAGGTGCGCAGCACCAGAAAACACCACCGTCGTTCAAGAAGCGCGCACTTGCCACCGGTTCTGCGACCAGTGCGGGCGAAGGACGTGCGCTTGGGTGTCGCAAAGCTAATCGGGACGATGTCGACGAGCTGCTGCCCGCCGGTACGAGCTCTGGTCAGGGCTATCCCGGCGGGCTCGCGCCATTCTGGCCAAGTGACTGGAAGCGCCTTGCGGCTTTAAAGTGTCTAGGCGCCGAAAGCCTAATGAGACACCAAGAACGCTTGTGGTGTCCTCGATGTCAGGACGACACATCGCTGCCTGACAGCAATTTCACCCGAGATGTTTCTGCCTCTGACTCTGACGCCTCTTTTAGAGTCATTGGCATGGCGCTCACCACATCTGCTCCTGCGACTTACAACGCGACATCTGCCTTGTGCGCTCTGCGCAGCGTCATCATTCATTCTGATGGAACAAAGCTGATCGAGTATGCCAATGGGTCCTTTGACGTATGGCTAATGCTGGTCAGTAGACATCTCGGTGACAACCAACGATCCGCTCGCATTCAAGCCGGGTGAGTTGCCCAACGCTGGTCTCGCGCATCTCGGCATCGAGCTTAGCATGATGGAGCTTCTTTTTTTGGGTGCAGAAAATTTGCCGCCACCCTGATTGGCTTCTTTTGCAAAGAGATGACGAGCCTCGACAGTCTGCTCAAATGGGTCGGACCCATCCTCGACATCCTCATCCAGGCTGCCGACACACCAGCCGACAAGCCAAACGCCAGCAAGACGGTAGAGTCTGCCATCCTGGCGCTTGGTCGCGCAGCGCGGTGAGAGCTCTTGTGGGAGGAGGGGGGCATCCTGCGAGCAAACGTACTGATCCGCGTCATTCTGCTCCCAGCGTTGCCCGAGACGAGGTGCTGCACCGCATTGTATTGAGCTTGGTCCAGCACCTCAATGCTCCGGACCCCCTTCGATCGCTGGTCTACCTGCAAGTCAGTACGTGCGTCGCCATTGTCGAGTCTGATCGCAATGCTCACTTTCTTGGGACCCCTCTGCTCAGATCACCGAGCTGGCACTTCACAACAACATGACTACGTACCAGCTACTGAGTCCAGCTATGGGTGCCATCAGTGCTCACGTTGTGCAGCGCATGTTTACAGCACCAACGCTGCTCGAAGAGCTCCTCGCTCTGCTCAATCAGCAATTGGGCAAGTTTATACATGCAACGCTTCCCCATACGCTACCTCTTGCCATCCAAAAGGGCAATGATCGCCTCTTGGCCGGCCTCGCTGCTGCTATCAAGCAATCCGAACGCGAAATGTGTTTCGAGCACGCTGGCGCAGCTCTCAAGCACTTTCTGCTCCTAGCCGCTCCTGCTCGCGACGCCGCCATTCAGCGTTTCGTCACCATCATCCGCGGCGCGACAGACAAGGCGACGCTCGAGAACAGCACGCGCCTGCTATTGAAGAGCTTCAAACCTCAATTGCTGGGCCACTTGGTCATTCACCTTGGAGACGAAGACTGCAGGAAAGCGGCAGTCGAGGGACTCTTGTATCTAGAACGCTCACGAAGCAAGAGCGAGAGTACCTCTGCAAGCGCACGCGATGCTTCAGCTGCGCTTTCGACGTTTCTGCGCGACGACATTTTGGAAATTCTGGCGTGGCTAAACGACGAGCTTGCAGGCGCGCACGGAAAGACGACGCTGGCTCAAAAGATCAGGACTGCGCGCAGCATAGGTGCGCTGGTAGATGCTGTGGGCCAGTCCATCGCGTCTGTCACTCCTCAGATCATGGCGACGCTCAATTCGTCGATGCAGCTGGACGAACTGGTACTGCCCACGCTGTTCTCGTGGCAAGCATTCATCACAAAGATGCGCTTCGAAGACGTTGCGCCCTTTGTCGGACAGACCGGCGCGTCTCTAGTCGCAGCCTGGCCGCGATTTGGCGCTGCGGAAAAGCAAGTAGCTGGAAGCTTGTTGAGATACATTGTCATCGACAGTGGCGCCGAATTCGCGCCGTACCTCGAGAGCGACTTTCCCAACCTGGATACGCTGGACGAAGAGCTGCCTGACCTCAGCACTGCTGTGCGTCAACGCCAGCGCAGCACACCCGGCCTGCGCATCGGCAGGGTGCTAGAGCGAGCTGCAAGCGAAAACGCTAGCGTCTGCTCTCAAGGTCTGCAAGAGCTGAAGCGCTTCTTGACCCGCGAGACGGACTATGTCCGCACCATCACCAGCGGCAACATGTTTGACCCCGTCGTCGGCAGATTGGTCGACGTGCTTTTCAGCGCGGCTTCGAAAGCTACGGAAGGTCAAGCTGATGTGCAAGATGTATGCTTTGAGAGTTTGGGCATTCTAGGAGCAGTGGATCCCGATCGTTTCGAATTGCCAAGTCACGAGGACACCTACATTGTCTTGCGCAACTTCGAAGATCGAGATGAGAGCATTGATTTTTGCGTCCACCTCATTCAACGTACCCTCGTTGGGGCCTTTCGCGCCTCGGAGGACACTCGACATCAGGCGGCTCTGGCGTATGCTATACAGGAGCTCCTCAAATTCTGCGGATTCACACCTGCGCTGCTGGCCACGTCGAGCTCCAAGCCCGTTGCCTTGCGCGTCCGTCAGCGCTGGAACGAAATGTCTAGCGAGACTTTGGAGACCGTCGGTCCTCTGCTCAGCTCCAAGTACACGGCGCAGATGGGCGAGCCTACTCGACGGGAGCGTCCCGTCTACCTCAATTCGTCGAGCTTCCGCGATTGGATCCAGACGCTGGCGAATGAGCTCATCTTGGATGCCCAGGGTATCGAAGCCAGCAGCATCTTTACAATTTTGCGCTCCGTCATCAAGGACCACGACCTGTCCATCGCGCGTCACATTCTGCCGCACTTGGTGCTGCACACGCTCATCTCCGGAACGGAAGAGCAGCGACAGTACATTCATGCAGAAATCTGCTCCATCCTCGAGGACCAAGTGACGCCGAGGACCGAGATGGATAGCGAACGGCGTCTATTATCGGCTCAGGTCATCTTCGGACTGCTCGACCACATCAGCTTGTGGACGCGACGCAGAAACGAGACGAGAAAGTACGCCAAACCGCGCGAAGCCGTGCCAGACAATGCAGTCAATCACGTTTCCACAGTGATTGGCTGCATTTCGGTCGAGCTCATGGCACGAGCGGCTCTGCAGTGCAAAGCGTATGCGCGCTCTCTACTGAACTTTGAGCGCCGCGTGCGGGATCTGAAAGCTAGCGGCACCAAGGAGCTCGATCTGCAAAATTACTACGAGGACATGCACTTCATCTACTCCAACCTCGAGGAGCCAGATGGAATGGAAGGCATCTCTACGAGCGTCCTGGCCCCATCGCTGGAGCATCAAATCAGAGAACACGAGAGCTTGGGTCGTTGGACGTCTGCTCAAAGCTGCTGGGAGGTGAAGCTGCAAGCTCATCCGAGCGAGCCGGATCTGCACGTCGGGCTGCTCCGCTGCTTGCGCAACCTCGGACACTACGACACCATGCGGACACACATTCGCGGAGTCCTCAGCGCTCATCCCGAGTGGCGTTCCATGCTGGCATCGTACGAAGTGGAGGGCGCTTGCATATTGGCTGACTGGGATGCGGTCCGCTCCGCGCTCGCTCTCGAAACGCACCAAAGCGACGCGCATGCCATGGCTCGCATCGCGCTCGCCATGCATGACAAGGATCAAGAAGCCATGCACCAGGCTATGCGCGAAGCGCGGCGTCTTGTCGGACGTCCAATCATCGCAGCAGGTGTAGGATCGTACGCTCGTGCATATGACTCGGTATCGCAACTGCACATGATTCACGAGCTGTTCCTCATCCAACAGCAGGACGAGAAGAATGTGCTATCTACGGCTACAGCAACCCAACGCGGCCAACGCGAGCAAACTCAGCAAACTCAGCACGCCTTTTCGGCTCACATGCTGCAGCGCCTCAACGCCACCCTGCCATCTTTCCGCACTCGCGAACCTCTGCTGAGCTTGCGACGATCGGCTTTTGCGACCCGTGCGATCGTCGACTCTGTGTCCAGCGCGCTGATTGGGCAAGCTTGGATTCAGACGGCCAAAAATGCGCGACACGCAGGACACGACCAGACTGCTTACAGCGCCGTCTTGCAAGCTACGCAGCGCAAGGTGCCGCTCGCATTTGTTCAGCGCGCCAAGCTGCTCGCGCTGGATGACAAGAAGCAGACGGCCGTGCAGGAGCTTACGAGCGCTCTGGCAGCGGTTTCCGACTTGAGTGCAAACGCAGCTCGCACGCGCTCGCGCTCGCAGCAAGAAGGCAGCGTGCTGGGCGACCCTGTCGATCCGAGCGGTCCCGACAGAAAGTCGCTCGCTCGAGCGCATCTTTTGCGCGCAAGACTGATCGAAGAGACTGGCAGATACTCGCCGAATGAGGTCATCGAATCGTACAAGCGAATTGCCGAGGTGGAGAGCGCATACGAAAAAATGTGGTACTGCCTTGGACGCTACTACGACACCAACCGGGACAATCTGGTCAACGATCTCTGGTGCGATTACTACGTCTGTCGGTACTACATGAAGTCGGCGCAGAGTGGCACCAAGTACTTTTACCGCACCGTGCCTCGCATGATGACCATCTGGCTCGATGTCGGCGATGATCCGGCTCTGATCAAAGCTGCCGGCAAGCAAGTGTGAGTCGTGTCGTCAAACGCCGAACGTGAAGAGAGAGTGAGCTGAAGCTGTCTTTGACTGCCTCACTTGTGCAGTACCAAGACTACAGATGCCGAGCTCTACCACAAGACGGACACCTTTGAAAAGATTTCGTCCGAGCTGCGCAAGGCGAGCTCACGCCTTCAACGCTACCAGATTCTCGCGGTGCTTCCGCAACTGCTGTCCCGCGTCGTGCACAAGCATCCCAGCGTCTGGGAGACTCTGAGCGAAATCATCTTGGCTGCGGTAGACGTTTTTCCCCATCAATCGCTGTGGGCGATGATGGCTGGCTTTCAGTCAAAGGATTCCGAGCGCAAGAAGCGTTTCATGGATCTGGTGAAGAAGCTCAAGGTATGATTTGGTTGCTCTCGTCGCACCATCGTGGTTTGACGTGCGCTCACACACTTTCGTCCTGCTCCCCTTTCTCACGTCACAGAGCGGCGTGGGTGCTAGAGCAAAACGCATCAGCGCCATCGTAGAGGCTTCGCAGAAGATGGGCAAGGAGCTACTCTTCCTAGCGGACGCGCCTGTCAAGTCCAAAGAGACGCAGCTCAATCTTCCTTTGCAGTTTCCCAAGCTGCAGGCTTTGGCTGACAGCGGCTTGATACTGCCATTGCAGTCATCGGTGGTGGTAAGCTTGCCAGGCAATGGTCAGATTCCTACAGACTACGATCCCTTTGGAAGCCCCAACGGTCTTCCTCGTCTTAGTGGTAAGTCGAGATCACCATGTCTGCACCGCAAGATGGGGACTTTGCCTGACTTGGCTTTCGTTCATCGCGCCGCAGGCTTCGATGCGACAATCGATATCATGCCCTCGTTGCAGAAACCACGCAAGGTGATCATGCTGGGCAGCGACGGCAAGCGCTACCCATTCTTGTGCAAGCCCAAGGACGATCTTCGCAAAGATGCTCGTCTGATGGAGTTTGATTCGATGATCAACAAGCTGCTTCAGGCAGATTCGCAAGCGCGTCGACGGAGACTACGTGAGAATAGTGCATTTTTACTGGTACCGCCTTGGCCAGCGAAGCTCATTCCCACCACCTTCTCGATGTGTTTTGTCAGACATTCGCACTTACTCTGTGATTACGCTGAACGAAGAATGTGGGCTCATTGAGTGGGTGCCAAACACCATTGGTTTGCGTCACATTCTGCAGAAAAATTACGCCCGACGAGATATCCCGCTTTACGTGAGTGCCGTCCGGATCGCTCATCCACTTGCAGGACACTCAGACTCATGAAGCCAATTTCCTTCTACATGGCAACAGACGCACGACCTCAAAGTCTTGCTCGACGAAGCACGAAACAAGCCACGTAAAGCTGCGGACATCTTCGAAAAGCAGGTCTTGTCTCGGTAAGACAAGTAGGAGCGATTGTCGGGCTCTGACGACGCGTGCTGACCGAAACGTTCGTTGACCTCTTCGCATTCCCAAAGCTATCCATCCGTATTCCACGAGTGGTTCATTGCGACTTTTCCCGAGCCCTCGGCTTGGCTCAAAGCGCGCTCGGCTTACGCTCACACGCTCGCAGTCATGTCCATGGTCGGCTACGTGCTTGGGTTCGTGCGACGGAAATCCGTGCTTTTGATTTCCGATCTGACCTGTTATTTCCCTCTTCGTGTCCAGACTCGGTGACCGACACGGCGAGAATATACTATTCGACGCGAGCAACGGTGACACTGTCCACGTGGACCTCAATTGTCTTTTCGAAAAGGTGCGTTCGTCCTGTGCCAAAATGCGCGAGAGCTACAGTTTTGAATGACTGTTGCGCCCACCTCGCAGGGCCTCTCGTTCGAGATCAAAGAAGTCGTGCCCTTTCGATTGACTCACAATATGGTGGATGCGCTCGGTGTGACCGGGGTCGAAGGTCAGTTTGCCCTTCTTGATTGCGAAGATCATCACGATACTGATCCCCGACACTTGCAACCGCGTCTTTAGGAGTCTTTCGTCGCGCGGCCGAAATTTCCATGCGGATCCTGCGAGACAACAGGGACTCGCTGATGAGCGTGCTCGAGGCCATGATCCACGATCCGCTCGTAGAGTGGGCTGTTGACAGCGCCCCCAAAAGCAAGGTGCGCTGCACGTCCCTATGCAACAAAATTCGTGGCTCTGGCTCAATGTATCGGATTCTCATTCTCCTTTTACCGCATACACAGGCTGGACAAGATCCGCGCCTTGCGGCAGCTCGCAAGGCCCTGAGTCCAGTGCAGTCCAAGTTGGACGGCCTCCTTCGCTCCCACGACAGGTGGACCGGCCCTCACTCCGTCAACAATGCCGTCGACACGCTGATTCGAGACGCGACTAGCTCGCAGCTGCTTGCTTCCATGTGTGAGTTGCGATGCCAATTCCTGAGCCGTGGTCTTCTGCTGGAATGGTTCTCTCACTCACGTGGACTCTTTGCCATCGTAGATGTTGGGTGGGCCAGCGTGAGTAACCTCAACATCATTACGTTTGTCGAAACAATGGTTGACTCGAGATGTCCGCCTCCCTCCAGTACCTTTGATCTCCACAACTTCGGGCTTCAGGTCATCGCACTTCGCACAGCGACGCGACGCGCCTCGCCTCGCCTCGCCTCGCCTCCATTCCCAGACTACTGTGTGCATATATCACCTGCGAGGCTCGCGATCTGCAATGTGATGACGTCCATCCCGTGCATCTGCCAAGGCGAGCACGATTTGTTCAGTGCACGCCTCAAATCCGCTCGCACTGTGACTTCGCGTCCTCATTATTTTTGTCAAGTGCTGCCGGGCGTCAGCCCAGCTTTTCAAGACGCTTCGAGACTATCTGCAGCTCGGTCTGTGGGAATCAATGTACTCAGAAGCGAAGAATACGTTCCTGTGCGTCGGGTGGACTTCAATTTGACAACTTTGTGAGGGATCAAGTGGTCGTCACAGCAGCTGGCTGCACACTTCACACGCATGCCAGCTTTGCGCACTGGGGAAGAACAATCTCTGCTACTTCACTGGTGAAGGATGCCATGCATCCCTTGAATGCCGTGCCAGACGTGCTCTTTGTCTCTGGTTTGTGCGATGGGCCAATCCCATGGTCGCACCTCTCGCTCTTGGTGCCCATTGGACACTTGCCCACTAAGATGGAGCATCAAGAGGTGATTGATTGCATGTTTGCCGTTGCTGTGCACACCTTGTTGTAGCTGACCTGCCTCTAACCCCTGAACATGACTTTATCCATCCCTTTGTTCTGCGCTGCGCGCTTGATGGTAATGCTGGACAGAACATCAATGGCCGCTTGCACTTTCACTACAACGGCAGCAGCAGGCTGGATGCCAGTCAAGACCATAATAAGTCTTTTGAACCTGGCCCAGTAGACCTTCAGGCAGGCCTGTTACTCAAGGGCCAAGGTGGCCAGCACTTTTCTTTTCCTCTCAAGATGGAGTTTGTTGGTCAATCCCTGGCTGGATATGTGCGCTTTTGTGTGCAGGTGAGGCGGGTCCGATGCTGCAAGACAAAATCAATGGGAAGATTGCGCGCATTTTTGTCTGCCAGATCTGTGAACTTGCATAGCCATCTGTTCGTCATGCTGGTTGACAATCAAGTGCTGGCTCAAAAGACCCAATGAAGCATCGTGATACAAGGTGAGCAGCGCTGCTGCTTCACTTGTTGCTTGACCGCTTCGTCTTGATCAACCCAACCTTGCAGCAGTGCTTTGTCTGCCAGTCTTTTGCTGGCAGCATGCAACGGCAGGCCTACAAAGGTAGTTTTGTTGGTCACCCTTTTGCGCGGTGCTGACCTCCGCAGACGCTTTGTCTCCAAGGCCAAGAGAGATTGTGCTGAGTCTGGCAGCGGCGCTCCAAACTGCAAATTCAAACCGCTCCAGAAGATCTGCTCCAATGGCAGCAACGACTGCAGCTGCTTCTGGTCCACATGACCCAGAGCCTCTCCGCAAAACACTGCAAGTTGCGACAGGAGGGGAATCAAATGCTATCAAGTAGAGGTACAAGTTGCTGACTACATTGGCACTTCTTGAGGCAGGCCACAGAGACAATACAAAGCAAGGGAGTCAAGTGGAGGATTGTGGAGTACAGGGTTGAAGTGAAGAGGGTGTACTCTCTTGAAGGCATCACAAGAATGTGCTGGGGGAGGCTCCCAGCTGGTTCCACTTTGACCAGCAGCTTGGCAAGTGTGAGCAGGATCACTGGCGCAGTGTGCCCTGATTGACCAGAATGGCCATGCCTAAGCCATCTCCACATCAATTGGGAGAGGCCCACTTTCAATGCTGCTTGCCAAGGTACTTGCCCAAAGCTCCTGTTCATTGTTCTGCAAGAGGAAGACAGTAACGCCAGGGGGGGGGCACAGGTGACAGGGAATCAGAGCAGGCATCTAGTCCAACAATGCAGCTTGTGGAAAAGGTCATTGCTGTCTGCTGGGATCTCATCAAACAGCTGGGTTGGTGGTGCTGCGTACCCTCTTGCGACTGGCATATACCCTCACAAGTAGCTTCAGGATGGGTGGACATTTGAAGAGTCTTTCCAAACCCCCAGCAGCTCCTCTCTCTGGGACTCAGCGCACAAGTTTACACCCCTGTGGGTGATGGACAACGCAGATTCAGAGCTGTTGCCCATGAGGTTCTTGGATCAGAAGAGGAGTGGGGAGTGGTGAGTGCTTGCAGGCCGGTGAGCGGGGAGGCAGGCG